GGCTGATTATCAAGGCAGATGGTTAGGATGCAATTCCTGATCATTAAATACTGTAACTTCACTGTAAAACACTTCAGGGGAGCACAGAGTGTGTGAACACGCTGGTACCCTCTGGTTTTCACCACGCTGGGGGAGCATCTCTCTGTACCCCCCCATCACCTGGTCCCCAGGGCCACATTCATGGCACTGCCAAGGCTTAATGGCCGTGAATCCCACCTTGAGGAGCTGTAGGAAACCACTGTGTAATGAGGGTGGTTTGTTGGCAGTTTATCCATCAGCCCTGGCATGACACAGGAGCTCCTGGGGGAAAGTGTGTCCCCGCATCCATGTGCAGAGCCTAAAAAAGTTCTACAGAAAGAGATGGTTTTTTGAAGGTCACGGCCTCCAGACATCCAAACCCTGTGGAGACCAGGTCCTGGCATCTGCCTCCCACTGGTCTCATTATCACTGCTAGTGCCACCACGTCTGCTGTTAGCAAAGACTCAGGAAAAGACTGGGGATAATGTTACCCAGCAAGACTGAAAATAAGAGGCGAGTGGTTTTCTTGCATGGGAAAGGCCATTTCATTTCAAATCTGCCGTGGCAGCAAAGATGGGAGGTTTGTTGCTATGTGTTATTTTTGAATGGCACCAGAAGAGATATCGATCTGTACCAACCCACCCACCAGGCACCAAAGCGATGCCTGTTGGCAGCATTGCCTCACAGGAATATCCAGACACATGCAAGCATGTTGAGGAACGATGACCTGGTATTAAGATGGCTCATCGTTACCAGGTCAGAGCCTCTGTAATTTACTGCAGAGACTCATTCTCCCACCTCCTCCAAAAAGCAAGGGCAAATGGGCACATCAGTCACTGGCCCCAGCTTTTGGCATCAGACACCCCTCGTATTTTTCACTATCCTCTCTTCTCATGTCCATTGTAAAGGGCTGTTTGGTGTTTCCCCTCGCAGGTGCAACCTGGCCCCTGTCCAGGAGTACTCGCAGGACGTGGGCTTGAAGACAGACCTGGTGACTATGAACCCCTCAGTCATCCAACGGGCCTTCGAGGACCTGGTGAATGAGACTTGGAGGGAGAAGCTGCTGCAGCGCCTGCACAGCCTGAACGGCAGCATCCTCTGGATCCCGGCATTCATGGCCAAGGGGGGCAAGGAGCGAGTGGAGTGGGTGAACGAGCTCATCCTGAAGCATCACATCAACGTCAGGACTGCCTACCCCTCCCTGCGCCTGCTCCATGCTGTCCGAGGGTGAGAGCCTTTCTGGTGTGCTTGGAGCCAGGGTTTCATGAGCCTCCTGAGAGAGAGATGGAGACATCAGTGGGTTTGTGCTGCAGGCAAACGGCATGAGCCGTTTCTTTCTGCAGACTTTGAGGAGGACTCCATGGGTGGTGGCTGGTCCCTAGATGAGAACTGGAGACCGCCTGGCAAGCAGGGTCTTCCTACTCTGCCCCATTGAGTGTGGGGTCTTCTAGCCATGCCGTATAACAAGCACTTACAGAAAACACTGGCTTTGAGGTAAAGAAGGAAAAGTAAATGATGCCACAACTCACAGAAAGGGAAAGGAAGAAGAAAAAAGAACCACAGCCCAAATTCGGAGCTATTTCTAGCTGTAATTGACTTACTTTCATCTGTCAAAATAGAATTAAGCTCCTGTAATAAACCCTTTAAATCAACAGGCTGCTAATCCTGAGCTGGCAAGCATTCCCAGTGCCAGAAAGTTTCTGTAGGAAGCTTTGCAGAGGGATTGGCAAGGGCTGGGCATCACTTTCCCACGGGAGAAGAGGAGGATGCCTCGATAAGCTCTGCTGCTGAGCTTATCTTCCACTTCATGGCACCTTCCTGGCCCTCCTGTGCTGCAGCCTTCGGTCCAGCTGGGCTGGCTGGCACTCTTCTTGTCCCTGTGCATCTCTCACAGAGCAGTGTTGGAGCCACCACTGGTGGCTGGCAGGTCCTGCCTCGCTGGAGAGGATGCAAGGATTTTGGGACAAGCCCAGGGCTTCAGTGCTGTCTCAGTGCATGGAGGGATGCACCCCTCTTCCCCATGCCTTGGAGTCTTTCTTTTGCACATGATAGTGTTCCTGTGGGTTTTCATGGGGTCCCATGCAAGACACATGGGTCTGGGCTTCTGAAAACCTTCTGGGGCTCAGAGAGATGTGACCAGTAAGACCAGCAAGTGAGAGAAGTAGAGAGTGTTGGTGGGTGTCTGGGATGGATATCTATCAGCACATGGTTGGGCACTGGCTGATGCTGATGACAGGCTCTAAGCACCTGGTCTGAGCCACAGCCAAGACCTTGAGCCTGGTCTGTGGGCTGGTTGCCATGCTGGGGCAACATAGAAAGGTGGGTTGTGGCTGCACTGAGGCAGCAGCAATTCAGTTACAACCCCAGAGGCCAGCCCTGATCCTCCTCAGGGGCTGCCCTCTAAGCCAAGGGAGCTGCTGCCTGACCTGCCCCC